CAGTCTTATTCACTGCCACGGGAAATCTGTCTGTCTGTCTGATTTGTTTAAATGGAGTTTTGTCAACTTTTGGAGCTGATATGTTTATACTATGTGTAGGGTGAGGAAAAGGTGAGCGCCAATCGCAGTGTTTCCCACAGGTTTGAAGGCAATGTGTGGTGGTCGGCGGGGGGGGGGGAGGGAGTGGGGTACAGTGGTACAGTGGTAGAGGACAATCTTGAGGTCATGAATCCAGTGAAATTAGTCGCACACCTTTTTACAGTAATAAGTTACAGCAGATCAAAAGTGACATGTTTTGACAATTTTTAGGCTATTTTGGACCAAAATGGCTGCTTTAAATCAATATTTCTACAGTAAAAGTTTCTGGTCTTTGGTACAGTGGTAGAGGGCAATCATGAGGTCGTGAATCCAGTGAAATTAGTCGCACACCTTTTTACAGTAAAAAGTTACAGTAGATCAAATGTGACATGTTTTGACCATTTTTAGGCTATTTTGGACCAAAATGGCTACTTTAAATCAATATTTCTCAATATTTCTACAGTAAAAGTGTCTGGTCTTTGGTACAGTGGTAGAGGACAATCTTGAGGTCATGAATCCAGTGAAATTAGTCGCACACCTTTTTACAGTAAAAAGTTACAGTAGATCAAAAGTGACATGTTTTGACTATTTTGGAGGTATTTTGGACCAAAATGGCGTGCTTTACCTCCCGCCTGCCCAGACATAACAGTAAAACCACGTGGGCTGATTGGTACAACCCAAATCCTTTCTCAATAATAAGGTCTACGCTCAATTGTGAAATTGAAATCGACAGCTCTTAAAATTCTCAAAACTACCTAAAGATCTACTTTTGTGCTATACCCAAATTCACCAAAATGCTTTTAAATGTTTTTGAATCTCTGTTGGTTCTAATCTATCTCATTAATCTAAGCTACATTAATCTAGGCTACACTCATGAACTTTATCTACTTTTGAAGTAACTACTTTTGGACATAATATGAAGGAAATGGTCTTTTTACCGTTTGATATTAACCCTGTCTAAACATAATCTCTATTTTTTTTTTTTTTGAAAGCATCTATCTATTTTACACTCTATTGTGACTCCAAATCTTGGTTGTAGTTTGAGCCAAAGCATATTCCCAATTTTTGAGTTCTGATTGTAACAATTGCATTGGCCATAGCTCCTACAAAGTAAGACTGTTCTTGTTAAATGTGTGATTTGAATGAAATGTATACCACTTCTGCTTTAATGTGACCAGAAATCCCCTTCGTTATATTTTTACCTTCATTTTTGTAATCAATAAACCCCCTTTTCTTTAACTCAATCCTATCAGAGTCGTGTTGTTAGATTTCGGTATATCCCTGGCAGATAAACGTATTCGCTACCTTTTGATTATAAGACTGAATCGAGGCAAAGATTTGGTTTGTGTCTGTGCAGACTTCTAACTCTGCTGGTGCCCAAAATAAATAAGACAGACCCATTGGTGGAACGGCGAGTTTCTGATCCGGAGACTAGCCGCTCCACACTACCAAATTTATAACATAATCAGCAATATAAGTAGTTACCCTACATATGCAACATGAAACTTGGATCTGTTTTCATTTCTGCATGGTCATTCACAAACTGTACAAAGTAGGAGAATGGAGGATAGAATGCATTATTGTCTCTTTTGTACTTTGTTCCTTGTTTGACCCATGACTCTTGTAAACCATATGGGAGCTTCTCAACAATTGGGTTTATCCCTCGTGGAGTGTCAAGAAAACTAAGCCCTGGCAGATAATTTTCATTTTGGGCATACTCTAACTCGAGCAAAAGATCTGCGAGCTCCTGCAGTAAGCGTGTGTCTTTATTAGATATTTTTGGAAAGGACTGTAAACGCTGGAACAGTGATGCTTCGATTACCTCTGGAGAACCATAACTTTTATCAAGACGTTGCCAGAGGCGCTGAAGACCTGCCTTTGGGTTGTTCACGTGGACTGCTCTGATTCGCAGAGCGTGTTGAAGTGACTCCCCGCCGAGCCATTTGGTGAGTAGGTTGAGCTCTTCATTGGCTTTGAGGTTGAGCCCCTGAGTTGCATTGTAGAACATGGATTTCCAGGATAGGTAGGACTCTGGCTTGTTGTCGAAAACGGTGAACCCCGTGTTTAGCAGATCACGACGTGCTAAGTAGGTTGCTAGGTCAGCTAGTTCTGCTTGTGACCCAGGTGAAGGTGTGCATTTGGTGAAAGTACCTGATCTGGTGTGATTATCCTGGTACCTTGGAAGCCAATTGTCCACGTGACACTCCGCGGGTGACTCCTGGTTGTAGTCTACTTTGTGATTGTTGTTTTTGCGGGATGCTTGCTTGGTTTCAATATTTACTTCTTCTTTCACAAGTTCTTTGTCATTGTTGAAGTGAGTGTCTACAAAGTCCTGTGCGCGTCTCAAGGAAGGAGGTGTTTTTACAGGAATGCCAGTAGCTGCCAGGACAACAGCACTATGAACTGCTTCATCAGCTGCTGCTTCTAGGACTTGAGCTGCCGTAAGCGCTGCTTCAGCTTCACCCTCAACCTTCAGAGCGTTTAATGTTGCCTCAAGGCGTGCCTTCTCAACTTCTATGTCTATTTGGCGTTTGGCGTACTGGGCTCTGGTGCGGGCAGCTTCTGCGTCTGCTCGTGCTCTTGCTGCAACTTGACTGGTGTTTGACCTGCTTGAGCTGCGTGACATGCACTCCGACCTGATTGCAAGCTGGGAGACGGATGGTGACTCTCGTGCTTGCGACATCTTGAGGCTTTGTGTATCTTGACGTGAAGATAATCTTTTTACTCTTCTGGTTTCAGTTGAGTGTTTCACTAACTCAACCTTATCAGCGAGCTTAACACAAAAATAAATGGGACGCAGGAAAACTGTGGTCTCTCCATTTCTTATTATTATTTTGTAAAACTGTAAATACATACAAAAAACATGTATTAGTACAAAAATCAAAAGAAAAAGATGTGTCTTACACACATTAGTAACATATACTGTAATTAACACCACTAGCATTGATAGCAAATTAGCATAGCTGGCTCACAGGAAAAACGAATTGTAAACAAACTAAATACATGTTGATTCTACACAACTGAAAGGCTCTGTAACATTCAAAACACTCACAGATTATGTCTTGCCAAAGATACAGCAGAAAAAACGGGTGGTAAAAGGGCACATAGAGGAGCGGTTCACGGGTGAACTCCTCTTGTGCTGGACTCAAAATGGAGGACTCTGCCTGCTGCTTACATCTATTCACCCATAGGTGGCTCCACCACAAACAAAAGCAAGACGCAGTTGAAATAAAACAGAGAAAGATGGCAACCAAATAGCAAACTCCCATGGTTAAACAAGGAATTACATCAGCTTTTTATAAAATAATTCTGCTTAGGGAAACATATCAAACTATGAGGGACAGAATAGGTTTTGTTTTTCACTTATTATAAAGCAGATTATTGTCCAATAATGTGTGCTGCTAATGTCACTATTATTAGATTACTGACCCCTCTCAGGTCTGAAAGTTTCTTCACGACAAATAATTATAATGTAAGGAAAGTGAGGAATAAGTTTAGAGGGTGCAATTTGTTATTATTTATCATCCCCAAATGTGACTCAGGAGTGATACAATTAACTGAGCTTTGAACCATACCACCTCCAAGGACTTCGCAAGAGCGCTGTTCAAATGTGTTTATCCCTGGAACAATATTTGTGGAGAATGCTGGATTCAGAGAAAAAATTAGATTTCCTTGACCCTTAAAAAGGAAATAAAACTTGGCCTGCTAAATAATTGAGTGCTATACAATATTAACCCATTTATTAACCCCACCCCACCCCACTGTGAAACAGACATTCACAGTGGTCAACTGGTCTGGTTCACTTGGGGAGCAATGCTTCACAGATCTGTTTCAAAAGTTGTGAACTTACTTAAAGTAGACTTTCTCAGGGGATCAATAAAGTACCTATCTATCTATTATGCAAATTCCGTCCACGCTAATATCTGAAACTTCTACCAAAAAACAAATCTGCCCACTTCTATCTACATGCTCCTGTCTCCTGTCCTGTACATATAGAATAGTAAGATGCAATTGTACCACTATTGTCACACTCAACAAAAGGTCATTCTTTACAATCACATGTAGGTATTTTCCAAATTGGAAAATTAGTTTTGGTCTGAATGACTGAATTAGTGAATGGTCTCATCAAGAATAATGCATCATCAGACATCCATCCATGAATAAAGAGCGGTTACCCTAAGCGAACCAAAATTAGTCCAGTTAACGTGAAGCAGACCCTTTGGATCTGGACTCCAGTCTTCAAGCAAGTAAAAGCACAGCACTGATGAATGGGCGATATCACAGGGTTCTATAGTATGATGCTGATTCTGATTCTGAATAAACCTCCCTTGCGTTAGAACTCTAGTCTTCTCCACAGCCTACAGTCAGTCTATGTTTCACTGTTTATAAAGTCTAAACTATTCTGACGTAACCCTGCAGTTTGTCCTTGAGTGTGCATCCATTCCTCCGTCAAATATGAACACAAAAATATAATATTTTATATTATATTTTATATTATAGCCATCAAGATGGCGCCAGCGTGTGTGGCCGGTCGCCTATGGACTCTATTCATTTTAATACATGTCATCTTATTATTATGTTTTCACCGAAAATATGTCTCTGCTCTATTGGTGTATGATCGACAAACTCTTCTTGATATTCAAACTGCACAAAGCTGGACGGCTAAATGTGATTCCGAACAAACAACGTGGAGTCTACCCCCGCACCTGTCCAGTGTCCCAGCGTACCTTTGGCGTGTGCCAGTCCCAATGCAGAAAAAGCGTCCCAGAAGGCGCGGTAGACGTGCTGGTCTTTTGGTCAAATTGAGATTGTCCAAAGCATACAGCTCTTCAACTTACTTCACCCGCGGAGGCTCCACTCACAGACTCTTCCCAGGTCTGAGCTGGATTCTACCCATCTTCCCTGCTCCAGAGGCCGCGCAGATGCGCTCGTGCCACCTGCCACTGGAGACGCTCGTCCTGAGGAGACGCAGAGGCGACCAACGCAGAGTGGATCTCGGTGCACTCCGGCCTCTCGCCCGCTCCTCCTCGCTTCACCACGAGGACGTAACTATTTGCTTGGGCCTCATGAATGTTAGATCGCTAACAAATAAGACTTTTCTTCTCAACGACCTGATCGCGACACGGGATTTGGATATTACTTTATTCACGGAGACATGGGTCCAAGCTGGTGAGTCCACGGCGTTTTCCGAACTCCTTCCACCAGGCTACTCATTCATTAGCTCCCCGCGTACTAGTGGTAGGGGAGGTGGGCTTGCCACAGTGTTTAAAGACTCGTTTCCATGCAAGCAAATTCCATCTGAAAGCTTTTCAAGCTTTGAATTACAAACATTTATGCTTGAACGCGCTCCTGTCATCTGTGCCTTAATGTATCGTCCTCCTAAAATTCATAAGGATTTTATTCAGGAATTCACAGACTTTGTTACAGGGCTCGTGCTGAAATATGACTGTTTTATTATTGCTGGTGACTTTAATATCCATGTGTGCTGCGAGTCTAAACCATTAGTCAAGGACTTTTTAAATGTTTTAGAAACGTTTAACTTGGCACAGCTGGTCCCTGGCCCAACACATGAAAAGGGACATACGCTCGATCTTGTGCTGTCTTTTGGTCTGAATCTGGAGATTATTGATATCTGTGACACGGGTATCTCAGATCACTACGCCGTGCTCTTTACTCTGACGCTTCCAAAATCTAACATTAAGCCGTGTGCCCCTGCGCGCAAAGTGCGCACATGCAACTCGCAAACTGCACTCACATTTTCGTTGGCTTTCTCTGACTTTATACTGAACAACGACTGCGGCAGTGATTTAGCTGTGGAAGACATGGTCTCTTTATTCAACGCTACATGCTCAAGCATTATTGATCTCGTAGCCCCATCCAGAGTCAAATGCGTAAAGCCTAAAGCTGAGCCCTGGCTTAATGACACAACACGGGCTCTGAGGCGCATCTGCAGACGTGCGGAGAGACGCTGGCAAAAGGACCGTCTGCAGGTGTCGCTGGACATGCTGAAAGACAGTCTACAGTCATATCAGAGAGCAGTTAAAACTGCCAAGTCTAAATTTTTGTCCAACGTTGTTACTATCAATTGCCACAAACCCCAGGTTCTTTTTAATACACTGACCTCTTTGATTAATCCATGCACTTCTCCCCCTGTAGTGGCCTCTTACAAACTATGCAATGATTTTATTGTATTTTTTAATGACAAAATTGCCTCCATTAGGCAGTCTCCGTTGTGTAAGCCCAGTTTTATGAATATAGATAATGGCTGTCAAAATGTATTTGAGTGTTTTGAAAATGTGTCCTTAGCATTTGTGACAGACATTGTAAAAAAGCTACGCCCGTCTTGTTGTCCCCTTGACTCCATCCCATCTCGTCTGTTTAAGGAGGTGTTCAACACAGTGGGGATTTGGGTCCTTAACATAATTAATGCATCTTTAAATTCAGGATGTGTACCTATCACACTTAAACATGCCGTGGTACAACCTCTTCTTAAAAAGCACAATCTTGACCCTACATGCTTGTCGAATTATAGGCCCATCTCAAAGTTGCCTTTTATTTCTAAGATCTTGGAAAAGGTTGTTCTCGTTCAACTACAGGACCATCTTGATATTTACAGCATCACTGAGAAGTTTCAGTCAGGTTTCAAAGCCAAGCATAGTACTGAGACTGCTCTTCTTAGAGTTCTTAATGATCTTTATTCAGTCTCAGACTCAGGCCGCCCTTCTGCTCTAGTTCTCCTAGATTTATCGTCAGCGTTCGATACGGTGGACCATGATATTCTTATTGCACGCCTCGAGCAACAAGTGGGCATCACAGGAACTGCACTTAAATGGTTCCAGTCCTATCTGACTGAGAGAACCTTTTCTGTTCAATTTGGCCAGTTCTCCTCTCAAGCGTCCAATTTAAAGTGTGGAGTGCCCCAAGGCAGTATTTTGGGCCCTACCCTATTTTGTCTTTACATGCTTCCCTTAGGAGCTATATTTGAGAAGCATAATATTTCCTACCACTGTTATGCTGATGATGTCCAAATATATCTGCCCATTCAGACTAGCAGCTGTGTACAGACACTTGTTGATTGTTTGAAGGAAGTTCAGGAATGGATGCAAGATAACTTCCTTAGTTTAAACAACAGGAAAACAGAAATACTTACCTTTGGGACTTCTGACCCTCTGCTGAACTGTGACAGTGCTATAGGACCTCTTATGGTTTATGAAAAGCCCCACGCCAGGAATCTAGGATTTATTATTGACAGCCATTTTAAATTTGATAAGCAGATAAATGCTTTTCTTAAAACAAGTTTTTATTATCTCAGAGTTCTTAGCAAAGTAAAATCTTATATTCCACATGCCCATTTTGAGAAGGCCATTCATGCTTTTATCACTTCCAGGCTTGATTATTGTAACTCTCTCTATGTCGGCATTGACCAGGCCCAGCTCAGCCGCTTACAGGGAGTGCAAAATGCAGCAGCCCGTCTTTTAACAGGGACAAAGCGCAGGGAGCACATCACTCCTGTTTTGCAATCCCTGCACTGGCTCCCGGTATATTTTAGAATTCATTTTAAAATTCTTATTATCGTTTTTAAAAGTTTTAATAGAATGGCACCTTCTTATTTATATGAACTCCTCCAGCCTCACCTTCCCTCAGAGCACTGCGCTCTGCAGATCAGCACCTTCTTGTCGTCCCTAGGACCAGGCTGAAGACCAGAGGAGACAGAGCTTTCTCTGTTATAGGGCCAAAGTTGTGGAACTTTTTACCTTTGCACATCAGAACTGCACAATCACTCGAGCACTTTAAATCCCTGCTTAAAACGCATCTTTTTTTTTTTTCTTTGGCTTTTACTACCAAGTAGACAGAGACAAATTTTTCGATTTCTTTTTGTATATACATTTCTGTATTTTATGTGTTTTTATTTTATAATTTTTCCTCGCTGTCTGTTCAGCACTTTGGTAAGCCTAGGCTGTTTTAAATGTGCTCTACAAATAAAGATTTGATTGATTGATTGATTGATAATAAGGCCGTTCTTAATAATTCAATAAAGGTCGAAATCTATCGTATACATATTATAGATAGTGTATTTTCTCATACATATTCACTGAAAAGGTATATCTTATCTTAGAAACAATTTGTCCCACGGTGGGGAAATGTCAGTGTTGCAATGCAGCATACATAAGAGTAAAAGAAGGGCACCCAAACAGGATAAAACAAGATCAATAAGATAACCCCATAAACAGCTGTAATAACATAAAATCTGTCTTTTTTCTGCTTAAAAATCTACACTATAAAACTGCTATAATTGCACATAGATTGAATGTCATTCCTTACATTCTGTCTTCATCTGAATAAATGGTTTTTGTTTTTCAAAGATGAAAGAATGCTTTGGGAGAAGAGCCTTGGGGCCACGCTACAGCACATTTCTGTATGAAAAATCCCTGCATGCCTATAGCAACACAGGCATAGCTTTGTGAGAGCTAAAACTAGTTACAGACGCCTTTTAACACACAATCCCTCATTTCGTTTTCATTTGAAAGTAGTATCCACGACGCTTGTTATATGATTTAAAAAATTGGCAATCGTGGCTAAATGTCTGATCAATAATCCAGACTAGCTTCCCAAGTCTAAGTACATTCAAGCAACTGCAGGCTCCACTGTCCATAATATTGGACCTTTTTGCCAATAGTTGCTTTTCTATGGGGTCTGAGTTCAACCGAGAGAAGAAAAAAAAACCTTGATATACTTCCCTTGCTTGTTTTAATGTGCCCTGTTCTGTTTCTAGCATCGATTATCGGGTCTGGCTTTAGTCAGACTTCTTATATCACATACCTTTTGTCTTTGCGATCAATGTACCCGCAAGACTCCTGCCGAATATGTCTCTTAATTTTTAAATACCTGCAAAACCTTTGTTCCTCTAATGACCAATTAACCAGTTTCCAGCAATTTTCAGTTCCGAAAATGAATAATTGATCCTCTCTTTAAAAATCTGCCTGTGTTTTAGGCGGGCTGGAGGCTTCATACATTCGTTATCCATCGGCACTTTCTGACAGAGGAGGGACAGGGCCATTTTTCTCACTGTCTGATTGATACGGCAGTGACTTTATAACAGACTTTGAAGCAGGCACAATGATGCTGAAGGGCTGGGACGAGACCGCTGACTTTACAATTAGCCCCTACTGTTCCATGTTCTGCTTATTTCCGCAACACTATTATAACTCATTAGTTATTGTACGTGTATGTGCATATTCTGAGGATGGGCAGTTGAATTCAATAACTATTTAAAATAATGCACATAGATTGATAGTCTCCTGTGTGAGCCAATCAAACATGTGTGTAATTATACTTAAATATTTTTGTTCAATTTGTCTGATTAAAGGAAAATGTACATGTTTAAAGCTGGGGCACCTAACTTTCTTACAACAATTGTCTTGCTAAAATAATAGAACTATGTGTAGTAATAAAATACATAGTTCCTCGTGCCTACAGATTACAATTTAATCTTCGGACCTAACTTTTGTAACACAGTAAGACAGATACATGCACTAAACCTCATTATGGCCAACTTCCATCCATCCATCCATCCATTTTCTACCCTTTAATCCATTTCTGGGTCAGGGGGGTGGCAGTCAGAGATGCCACCCAAGTCTCATAGCACCAGCCCCTCACTGACCCTCTGCAGGTGGTGAGTCCACAGGAGGACGGCTGCTCTCTGAGTGTGAGCATAGCCTTGATCTTTCAGTGGGGGCTCTGGGCAAAGTGGGGTTAAGTGTCTTGCCCAAGGACACAACGACAGCAGTCATCAGTGGGAGTCGGTGGAGAAGGTGCAGAGGTGGGAATTGAACCCACGACCTTCTGGCCTTAAGGCCAATGCTCTACCAACTGAGCTACTGTCGTATTATGGCCAACTTGAAAACATTAAAGCTGAGGTACCTAAGTTTCAAACCATAACAGCAGAACTATGTATCAATATGAATGTCACTAGCAGTTCCTTGCCCTCAAAACTGTTTGACTCTATCACTGGTTTTGACATGCATGTATTCTTGTCCTCTGTCACATCTTGAAATTGGCGTTCTCAGGCAGAAAAGTTAAAAAGAGAGGACCACCCCCATTCAGCCATTTAGGTCTAAGCCCAAAGTGTCAAATAGTGACACACAGGGCCCTATGCAAAAGATGACATGATTTCTAATATGATGAAGACCACATGTTTGTTCACAACATTTTACTTTCCCCTATACTATTTCTGTGGGGACAAACAATGACATAAATTAGGTACCCCAGCTTTAATCATAACTTCTTTCTGCAGGTGCTGGCGTATGACCCTGACAATGGCGATAACGGGACAGTGGTCTACAGCATCAGTCCTGAAAACCCCTTCTACACCATCAACAGGAACAACGGCAAGATCCGCACCAGTGGAGTCACGCTGGACCGAGAGAGCTCCAACCCCAGAGACGCGGCTCACATGAGGACTATCATCATCTCAGCGGTCGACCGTGAGTACTGCGTGTTTAAGTACATGATGGATCATACTGCAAAAAGGTATAAGTGAAAAAAAACAGTGAACATTTTTTTTTGGCAAAATGTATCTTAATTTGTGCACATTTTGACTGTTATAAAACAGTTATATCTAAATGTATATAGATTCAAATTATATCTCCATCAAGACAAGAAGATCGTCTCATAGGGCAACTGTAGTTTCTCTTTCTGTACACATGAGATCTGTGGAGTTACAAAACATTTTGAAAAGTAACCACGTTACTTTTTTTTAACACAGCTCGGGTACCTAACTTTTTTGTTTAAATTATACACTTTGTTTGTCCCAAAAGAAAGTGTCTTTAGAAAGTGATATGTTGTAAACAAATGACACCACAACATGCTTTACCTATCGTGTTAGGAATTGTTCTATATTTTGCATATACTGCACTCAATGGGCTATGCTGCATATAGCCCATTGAGTTACTATTTGATACTTTTGGTCTGGTTGATGATGGAGGATGTGACAGAGGCCAAAATGCATGCATGTGAAAAGGAATTCAGATTTTATTTGCTTAAAATCTTTAAAAAATGCTTTTGACTGTCAATTGTTACATAATTTGAGTAGTTGATGGAAATGTCAATGGCAATGTCAATATGAATGTTATTGATAAAGCACTTTTACAACAGCACCAGCTGTCCAAAGGGAGAAAAAAAATCTGAAAAAAGCACTCGTAGACTGCAGACCTTCGCCAAACTTCAAACATTTTTCAATACATTTTATTTTGTACCATTTCCGAGATTTTCTGACTCTTTCTTAAAGATAAGCTCATAACTTTGAGTTATGGGAAACTCCCCTGTTGAGTTAAAAATACTAAACATCTCAAATAAAAAACAGAATTAAACAGCTTACTTAAAATTAAAAAGCAAGCAAATTTCTTAAACAATGTATTAAGATTTCATGCATTTCCATCTTCTGTATATTAAACAATATCACTGTAATCGGTGTTCCCTCAGGCAGTGAGAAGCCTTAAATGTATGTTTTTAAATGCACAAAGCCGCATCATTTGTGTTTCACAGACTACGGAAGATAATAGACAAACGTAAGTGCGGTATATGAACAGTGGCCATAGTGGCGTTCATAGGACAAGGAGGAACAAGGGTGCCACTGCTTCATGAAATTATACATTGCTCAAACATGCATGAATCACTGTAAAAACAACATGAGTGAATGAATGACGAGGGGAATTGTAACAGCTCTTTAGAATAGTTTGAAAAATTGTTCACCTTGATATTTCATGACCAATGCAGGTGACCAATCCTCCACCTGAAAAGTTACACAGTTACACAGTTTGTTCTCTTTCACTTCCCACGTGAACCATCTGTTGCCCTCGTTTATTTTTGTACGTAGTTTGTTACATCTAACTACTGCATATCCTGAGCTCCCCTCACGTTTTCTAGACATAGCAATTAAATCTCAATTATTGTTCTCAAATGTACGTTTTAAATCCCTCTCACTTTCTTTACCACAGCAGAGAAGAGAACATATTTTCACCAAGCCCAATAAATCTCATACACAGCAGATGCATGTGCCTACAAATAATTATCCTATCAATAACATCTATTATGTGATGGTTGGTGTAATAAAACTAAATATAACTACGTAAGATATCGTTTCTGGATGGGGAAGATATCAATCCTCTTCTAGCTCTTTTCTCAACCTAATCCAACAAGTTTTATAGTGACCATGAAACTTTTTACTGCCCAAAATAAACTCACTTGACCATGAGACAGCTGTGCTTATGTATCCATCTGGCGCCCTCTTTAGGTGGCACCCCTCCTCTGCAGGCGACCTCCAGCACCACAGTGTTTGTCAATCTACAGGACCTGAACGACAACGACCCCACATTCCTTAACCTGCCCTTTGTGGCCGAGGTGCCTGAAGGCCTGCCCATCGGCTCCTCTGTGTATAAGGTAAATGATAATAAAGTTTACGGCATTATTAACACTGTGGGTGTTATTCTAAATTGGACTATGATTGCAAACTATTACATATTGTGTGAGGAAGGTTGTTTTTATATTATTTGTTGTTTAGGGCAAAAATCCAAATACCAATTACCAAAACATTACATTCAAAATAGATTTGGACCTTGATATTTTACTGTATATTTCATGCTGGTGCTGAATATGCTGAAAAGTTGTTTTTTCTTGTGGTATGACATCTGTATCAAGCCTTCCCCCAGCAAGTGATCGATCAACATAGGCAAAAAAATAAATTACCAAAAGAGAGCCTTCTTTGTACCAGGGATCCCCAGCCACCCTTCCCCCATCTCCCTGGGTGTCCTCTCCCTTTCCTGAATGAGCCTGGAATCAGCAGCCTTGAACTCTGTCTGCAAATGGATGTGTCCTGGACTCATCCACAGCCTGTCTGTTCAGTGGAGTGGATTTTTCCTTCTTGCTGGTTCTCCTCAAGGTTTTCTTTTTCCCTCAAGTTTTGCTGAAAGAGGGCCTGAGGACAGACGATGCTCTGGGACATCCTGTGAACATTGGTTTATCTGACTTTTCTGACCAAGGTTATGACTTGCTATTGCCAAGTTTACTATTGTGATTTTATGCTGTACAAAAAAATCACAAAACTGTGTATTTATTTGAACAAATTGATAAAGATTACGTTTTTAATCAAGAGAATGAATGCTACAATATGTTTCTTGAAAAGTTGCAATTTGGTTTTCATGTAATTATTACGTTTTTTATAGTTTATAGTCACATTTTTATAAGATGTGATCGCTTTACTTGTTCATTGAAATATGAGCAAATTTGATTCGAGATCATTTGAAATAATTCTTATTCAAGTCATTTCAACACACCTCAAGTTATTGTGGGTGTGGGTCATAAATTGTCCTCTTGTCATGTAGGTCCAAGTGGAGGACCCTGACGAAGACAGGAATGGCCTGATCACCATGGCGCTGCAGGTGGGAATGCCGCAGCTGGATTTCTTCTTGAACACAAGCACCGGAGTCCTGAGTTCTACGGCGATTCTGGACCGGGAGCAGATTGGACAGTACCAACTCCGGATCATCGCTTATGATGCTGGAAAGTTCCCCCGCACGTCCACCTCCACACTCACTGTGTCCGGTGAGAAGTTTAAGTGGTTAAAAGTACACTGTTTTAAAATATTATCTGGCAACTTAACATGCTGGATTAGCCTTTCAAAATTGTCAAATCAAGATGAATACAACTTACCACAACCACTTATTAACTGATCCATTTAGGGTAGTGGTTCAAAGGATTGGTTCTCTATCTGGAAAGAAGCTGCTTCAAACTTATACTGAATATATCATGTTATTTACCAAATTGTTGGGTCTTTCTTTAATATAAACTCAAAATAGATCAAATAGTCTGTGTTAATCACCACTTCTATGTGTTTTCTTCCCTTATTTGGTCATTGCCTTTATTCCTTAGGTATTTATGTAGTATAGAGACAATAATGTCCACAGAGGGAATAAATCTGGCATATTTGCATGGACACATATTGATTAGCGTGCACTGTCCCATTCAAATAAACATTTACATATACAACATGAACCACAAATTTGATGCATGACTAGTGTGTCATATAGGGTTTTAAAATTGTGTGTCATACGTCTATGATTCCTCAGCACCTTATGGCTCACCTACAGATGTTTGTGTGACCACCTCTTTCAGTGTCTGCATACTTCTGTTTTTACCCTTTATGACTATATCCTAAATATAATTACAAGATTATTATGCAAACTGTAAAATTCTATCAGAATGCAATGGTGTGTGCAAGTTTCTAGATATGTTGTGTCATTATCTTTGTGCGCTCCTGTCCATGCGTCCTCATCCCTGTCTGTGTGTGTCAGTCCTGGATGTGAACGATGAGACGCCCACCTTCAACCCGCGCCTGTACAATGTTTCCCTGAAGGAGAGCGTGCCCCGAGACCACGTCGTCACACGCCTGCTGTGCACCGACAACGACACCGGGCTCAACGCCGAACTCAGCTACTTCATCACAGGTCAGACAAAAAGGTTTATTGTCAGTTTTTAACCAGGTTACAACATTGTTTCATCCCTTCATAGAGAACTTATGTTTGTACAAATGTGCAAACTCCAGCTCGAAGTAAAGCCACTGCTTTTCCACGTAGAGGATAGTTCTCCACATTGGGACTAAGCGATTTAATGTTAAAAATGTTTTGAACCAACATGTATCCATTTTATTTATTTTTTATCCTGAAGGGCCATTTCAAAAGAGCAGCAGTATATTTTAAAAAAAACATTTTGAGTAATCTTCAAGATAAGGGATTGTGTATATTTCTCATAAGGTTAAATTGTAAAAGTTTGTAAAGACTTGTACATTTTGCTATATCATGCCCCGTTTAAGGATACTTTTCAGGAAATTGCAGTCTATTTATCTTACACTTTTATTGTAATTTGTCTATTTGAAGGTGGTAATCAGGATGGAAAATTCAGCGTTGGCTTCAGAGACGGGATTGTCCGAACTGTAGTTGGGCTGGACAGAGAGACCCAGGCTTCATACTCTCTGATTATTGAAGCGATCGGTGAGTTCGGATTCTCTGATCAAGGAAAAACTCATTTATTCTGTTTTATATTCATTCCAGTGTCCACTGTTTGCATTTATGATAATAGGTCTTGTTTGCTCATTTGTTTTGTCATCTTCAAAGGCGTCCTTGTTGTACGACAATGATAAAAAAATGGGGCTTCTCATTTCAGAGTGATTTCAGAACATTGCTCAACTGCCTTTGTTCCTTTTTGAAAAGAAAGAACAAAAACTCTGAGGTTTTCCTGTTTTGGAAACCAGCTCAGAGGCGACGACGAGCTCAGATTCTGTAAAACTGTGCAAGGCGACAGAATTAGTGGCCCATTTTTCTGCAAACAAAGACATCAACACTATTAGGGGATTGTCTCATTTTAAGCTAAGACTTAATTTTGAATGTGGATCAGTTTTATTGGAATATATAGCTGCACAGACTGCTTTATTCCAATTATGGTATTATAAAAATACAAAAAATTAAAAAATGCAGTCATGAGACGAGTTTGCACCATATGTTATCAAAAAATATGTCAAATGCTAGTAGTCATTACCGGAAATGTCTTTACTGCACTGCAAAAATGTATGTTAAAAAGTGAATCAGTATTTCAATTGTTTTTTTATTCGTACTGTCAGTTAAAACCCATTTTAATGCCGTAGTTGCAGCTAGCAAAGTTAGAAAAACTACACCACTCCAGTTGTAGCTGTAAACACTGCAAGAACAGAAACTATTTTTTCTTCCTTGTCTTTTTATTCACAATATTCATAAGTTTTAACAACACAAAAAACATTTAAAACAAATCAAAGTAATCACTTCTTGTTATTGTTTTTACATTTTACATCACACGTTCGTAATGTCGCTCATACACATTTGAAACGTTCCCCTTCTTCTCAAAGACAATGGTCCGGCTGGCAGCAGGAGGACAGGGACAGCCACAGTATTCGTGGAGGTGCAGGACGTGAACGACAACAGACCCATATTCCTCCAGAACAGCTACGAGACCAGTGTTCTGGAGACAGTGGCCCAAGGAACCAGCATCCTCCAGGTATCTTTACAAACGCACTCTCTCACCCAAAAGAAATACACAAAAATAAACACAACACAAAATTCAGTATCTAGTCACGGCTATACTGATTGGAATTCAGGGTATTCTGGATACAGAATAGAGCTGAAAGATATATTGTTATTAGATTATTGAGGTTGAACATTGTTAACATCAAAATAAACAAAACAGATTTTGCCCGCGCTCTCCCTGCATGTAACTCTGACAGTCCGAAAAAACATAATTGTTACGATTACCCATGAACGCACCACTACGACCAGCCAACCACAAACCATACCTCATGCTGTGGATTTTCAGCTGAAGCCAATGACGGAGGAGGGCAGGAGCTTTTTCTGAAAAATGCTTGTTTTTCATCAAACTTATCAAATTGAAGTATGACATTTTGTTAATATGGTTCAGACCTAATCAGATATTAGATTATGTCATTGCTTTTAAGACTTTTTCTGACTACTCTGTGCTTTAGCTTGAACTTATAGATTTGTTTCTGCGTTGTTCCTTTCTCTTAAAGGTGATATCCGCAACCACAATGTATTTCATTTTTATAAGAACGTATTTTTATAAGAATGTAGATTTCTATCATTTACAGTAAATATTTTTTCAACAATAGTATATTTAAAATAGTCCATCCCCTTAGCATGAATACCACCGGTAAGATTTTCTGGAGGAGGACAGATAAACCTCCAGAAATGAGTATGGACGGGTCTAGTTTTTCTTTTTCTTCATTCTCCCTTCACAGTTTGAAAAGTAACAGACATTCACTTTAACCCATTGCGGAATCATTCATGCTTGAAGTAAAATTAATCTTGAAACTAGTAATCTAAACTTGCCAAGTAAACTAGTCAAAACTACTGAAATTAAGAACAACATCCTGAATTCAGGTCAATTTTAAACAACATGAATAAGAAATACAACAATATATTTGTAGAAGTTTGGCTCAGCTTCATGACTTGTGCTTATATGCAGTAACTAAAACGAACTACACACTAGAGTGCAAATGTGTCACTGAACTGTTATTGACAACCGGTGGCTGATGAAATATAAAAGGCTGCAAGGATTGTTTAATTATTCATTTCTCTGCATACATCTCGGAAGGCTTACTATAGCCATTGAACATTTGACTATGGCCATGCAATAGAAAAACAATACATCCTTTTGGTTTTCCTTATTTGTTCGCTTGAGATTAGGGCTGCACAACATTGGAAATTAGTGCGATATTCGATATGAGTGTTTAGTATTTCGATTACGATATTATTGCCATATTTTTGTCTTTCACCTAAAATTGCAAATAAAAAATAAAAAATAATTGCCAATTAAAAAATAAGCACAACATTATTGACGTTCAAATGCATATGTTTATATACTTTTTGTTTGTTTGTTTGTTGTTCTTGTTGAATGTTGATGTGTCTGTCTATTTTGTTTTGTTTGTTTTTTTATTGCGCATCTTTTCAATATTGATATTGCACGCACCAATATCGCGATAACCATATTTTTTTTATATATCGTGCAGCCCTACTGGAGATACTGTATATCCACTTGTGCTATTGTACCTTGCCTGAAATGGTGCAAAATTGAGTCCCCTAGGGCTAGTATCAAACTGGAAATGATTATAAGTATCATAACACGCCTGTAACACGCCTGCTGTTTTTGGCGTAGCTGCTTTTTCTTTTGTTCAACGAGGCTTTGATTGGGCTTATTTGTACAAGAGGACGAGACATGCCCATCTTCACCACACCTGAAACAGTACCAGGGTCTTGGCTTGACTGATGATTGGGTGTAGCTGGTTGGCTTTGACAGGTCAGGTCGTGGCCCCTGGTTTGAGGATAATGCCTTTTGGGACAAGAGTATTGACATCTGCTCTTGAAGCTTCTGAATTTGTTTTTTTAAATCTTTCAGTTCATCACTTGGGTTTGTGTCTGTGCTCGTACTAGCACCAGACCAAGCGCTTTGAGATTGAATACTGGCTCGTTGCTTTGTGGAGCCGATGTGCTTTTTCATTAAAGAGTCTTTAACTGTCTGACGGTCTTCCTCTGTTCTTAATGATAATAGCAACTCAGCGAATGATGGGGGATTGTCTTTCTTTTGTTCAAGTTGTAATTTCACGATTACGCCGTTTTCCCAGCATCCACGACAGAACTGTTTTAACAGGTGCTTGTCCTGATCAACTGCTGTGATGCCGCCTCTTTTAACAACAGTGCTTAGCGTTAGATGCAATCTCTGAAGGTAGGACGAGGGTTGTTCACCCGGGTTCTGCAGCGTATTCAGAAATTGAGCAAAGAGCTCCTCCCCATCCTGCACTGTATCGAAAGCCGAGTCCAACACACGAAGTACGCCTGTGGGTAGTGCGTCTGGCCCGAAAGCTTTGATTAAATCTGCGGCAGGGGACAATAAACTCTCCATTATACGCCGAGTGACATGCAAGGCTGAAAGATTGGGGTCAGCTTGTAACAGTTCGATTTGGCTTCTCCACGACTCATAATCCACTTCACTGCTTGGTTTTGGGACTCTCCCGGAAAATGATCTGAGCCGTAAAGACGATGACGTGACCACATCGCTGTTCCGAACGACATGTTCCACGACGACCCTTCGCACTTCCTGTGGGTTAAAATCATCCCCAGACAGTGAGATCCTTTCACCAGCTACCTTTGGATAACTTTGACCGATTCGAGCCCGCTGTTGGGAGGATGATGGAAATTGGAAGGAGCCTCGAAATGGCCCTGCCTTTTGCATTGTATCCGGCCATGCTGTGGATGGCATGTCGATGGTCCTTCCTCCTTCCTCCTTGTAATCATCCTCTTCGTCCTCCTCCCCATCTTCCTCTCCATCCTTGTATTTGGCAGCCAATCGAACATCATCCTTCCTTCTGGCTCCAGCCTTGTCCAAATGGCTACCGATTTGATCCATGACAGACTTCAGGACATCCTCAAAGCGTTTTCCAGAGCTATCGGCTATGCGCTTCAGGTCCATAAGATAGTCCGTATCGGGATCTGAAGATGGGTTGGATAAGGGAATTGAGGTGCTGTCACTCACCGTTGCCTCGTATTGGGACGCAAGCGATGTAACGTAAAAACTGCGGTCCGCGACTAACGACTTGTGTGTATACGGCAGTAATGGTTGTAGTAAAGACATTGATGTTTGGTCTACATACTCAACGATCAGGTTTTGATAAAAAGAACTAGACTTGTCACTAACTGTGATGACACGTTTAATCTCTCCATAGCTACGGAGGCAATCAACTATTTCTCTGTCAGTGTCTGTGTTAGACGCGCCAGTAACTAGTGCTGATTTGGAGACATCACATCCCGACTTAGAAACAAAGTCTGCCATTTTTTTCTATTAATATTTTTTTTCTATTATTATTTTTTTTTCCCGAATCTCATATCAAATTAAACATTCATTCACACGTTATAGCTCCTGGCTAGCTCGCCAAATGTAACAAATGTAATTTGAAACTCCACTCTGGCGTTTGTGCTGCTGGTGCTGCCCGCAAAGCGGCTAATATCCGCGCGTACATCTAATGGAGTACTCAATGCTCGCTCGTATCAAACTCTTAACAAGTATCAGAGTAAAATGGGGTAAAACGGACTCACCGCTGAGCGAAGGAGGGATGTCCTAGCTCGAGGCAAAGCAGCGGTGATTCAGCTGAATTTATTGCAGCAGATCCATGGCAGATCAGTCGCAGCAGCGGATAGTAGCAGTAGCAAATAGCAGCAGTAGCATCACAACAGTGAGTGCAGCACCATGAGAGGGGGGAGGACAGGGGGCAGCGCCAGGTTAAAGCATCACGTCCGGTGGCTGCGTGGGTCACGCGGGATTACAACTAAGCTAAACTACGTGGGTTACAGTGCTAAACTACGTGGGTTACAAATGGGTCTGGGATGCATTTGAAGAGTGAAGATCCGGCCTTTGAAACTAAAATGACTCAAAATCAACTTTTAGTAGAATGTAGTCTTGCAGCCAGATTGTCATGTCTGATTGGTGACAGGCGGTCACTATTATGCAAGCTCTATTCCAATTAAATTTCAGTCACATAGTCACACATGCATGGCGTTGTCGTTTTGGGCTGCTTAATTGCTTCTTTGGGCAGAATTTGTGTTAAGTGTATACTCTCGGGTCTTCTGTTTGGCGGGCGCCTGAATGAAGCGTTGTACGATCTGCGGTAGGACCCAAACCTCTTCCACTTCTTGAGCTGGGGCTCTCCGGACTTGTTCCTACTCCTGAAACTGTCTTCAAAGTTAGTCTCAGAGTCGTCTTCTCGAGTGGAGGGTTGACACACCACCAGAAAAGCAGCAATACCGGCCAGTAGCAGAGACAAGCCCAGGGCGATCATGATGGTGAACTCCGGCTCATGGATGTCCGAGGAGTAAGATGGTGGGAGTGGGACGGAGGCTGGAGCGGTGGAGGGGGAAGGAGAAGTTGATGCGTTCAGAGGGATTGACAACGTGGACAGGGACAGTGGGATGGTGGACATGGTGGGAATGGTGGACATGGTGGAGTTGTCTATCCAAATGGGGAAGGTGATGTTAGCTCCTGTGTCAGTAGTATTCATTTTGCCTTGAGATCTAGGAAAAGATAGAACAGACAAGAATATATTGTGGATTAGAAATGCAATTATTGAATAAACAGAGTTACCCCACCACTATGGACTCTAAAATGAAATGAATTGCAAGTTTAAAATGTATTTAATGAACTACCAGTATCACTATGGCTATGGCTATCAGCGCCATTGCACTTATTCACTAGCTGATCATTGCTATTGTTGTGCAAGTGCAGACATGTTGCCAATTATTTTTTGATAATATTTTCAAGGGGATGGATGCATTATGTATGTGAATGACTGAATGTGCAAAGAATGAAAATAGATTTTGGGGATGTATGAACTCTTTATGCATACAGTACAGTATAAGTGATGAATTCTTGGAGCTGTAGTGACTGAACATTTCCTCTTATTGATTGGTCAAATATTCTCAACTACAGAGCTTGGAATCATAATCCCCCAATCACTGATTTAAAGCAGTTTGTGACTCTCCAAATAGGATCAGACCTTAGGGAACCTCACTGCTCTGGGCAAAAGGACCCTGCGCTTGTCGACAATTGTCTATCTTGGTCATGTTGGAGGACTTCAGTCTTGACTCAGTGGTCATGCATAACCAGACAGTGTAAGTGTATTAGAGTTTCCTATTTGCATGCACATGTACAGTAGGCACCGGACCACTGCCTTCCCGCACACATGTCGAGTATTTGGCATTTGTAGCAATTATGTAGTTATTAAATCAAGGTCTACACAACAAATGCTTGACAGGATTTCTTCAATGTAAAACAAATTGGGTTTATTAAAATGGCCCCTGTAAAATAGGGTGCACCCACCTCCTCGAGCTGGTCTCCAATTATCCCCCTCTCGTTTTTGTGCCCCCATCTTCAGCACAGTAACATTTGTAAATGTCATCGTCCTTAATTCAGCGCAGACAAAGCATGGCTTATCGGTTTAAGGGGAACACATTGGGACGTGAAATTATTTTTAAGACCAAATGCCAGGAAAGCTGTGAAAAGGCCAGTGGAGCGGGGATGACTCGTTAGAGAGTCAGTTCATTAGTCAGCGACTCCCAACCCCACGCACACACCTGCATACACACACATACACCACCACACACACATATGCACACACATGCACAGCATACATACGGAACCTCTCCACAGAGCTGATTAGGCACCTTTTGTCTTCACTCTTGTTTTACCTCCCTATCTATCACCTACATATTACATAAACCTGCCAAATATTCAATCAAAGCCTTTGAAGCACTGTGTCAACTTGTTTTTGGAAATATTTTTTTTGGTTGATATTTGACCTGAAATAATCCACAATATGGTTTTCAAACATGCTTAGATTTCAGCCATATCTTGGCTTTGTTTAACCACATGTTTCCCACAGTGGAAATTGATCCATGAGATAAGCAGGTGGCAGACCCTCCATCCTCCAGTGCCTGTATTATCATTAGACATTAAACAGAAATTAACGTTCTAGACGCGTTCTCGTCTCTGCATAAGTGGCAATACAATTACAGTAGTAGCTCATCTTGTTCTCTGTAAATAAAAAGATAGACTAATGTTTTTACTCTAAAGTCGAGGTAACTACTTGCAAACCTAAATCCTTGCTTTCAAAACAGTTTGGTTTTATCACTATTTTTCACATGCATGTTTTTGGCCTTTTTCAATCCATTTTTCTTATTCCATCAAAGTAAGAAAGGATAACTTTTTGCTTGTTGCGCTCAGCCCAAAGCACCAAATAGTGACTCACAGGGCTCTTTCTGTTGGGACAAACAAGATTATTTATGAATTTAAAAAGATACCTAAAGGGCCATTAAGGGACAAGGATTCATTGGAACATTCCTATTTAAATGAAGGTCCAATCATCATGTTTTCAGTCTTTTGTTGTGTTTGTCTGTGATTCAGCGGTTATTTTTCTAAACAGTTTGGGTGACACAAATGAACAAATAAAATGTGCCGCTCACACAAGTCTGAAATAATTTGGGCACTGTGTTCTTGAATTTGGGAGGTCAAGAGGCACCTGGTTTTGTGGATTTTCACAGGTTTACTTTTGACTTGATAGAAAATGTAAATATAAAGTAAGCGTTGATAATGTTCAGGTTTTAGTTGCTCAGTTTGCTGCTAAATATCAATAATGAAAATTGCAGAGAGAAATGTTTTAATGGAAAGCCTGTCATCGATATAATGTAGGTCTAAATACAAATATGTCCATTCTTTTTAAGATTATTGTCAGATAAAAATAACTGATAATGAATAAGACTTCTTAATCTTTTATGTAAGAAAGAATCCTGGGAGTCATTATTTGAGCTGAGTTGCTGAGCAAGAGTATTTTTCTTTTTTTCTGTCTGAATAAGCTAATCTAAAGATGTGTCAGGGCCTTGTATACATGCATGTGAGAACTAGTGATGGTAGCAAACTGTTTTGAGCGAGAAACTAGTTAGATGGATGTTAGTTCAAAGTCAGGATTGCAAATGAAATAACTCTGTAACCTGTCTGTTCTAAACCTGTCGGTACATTCAATTTAAGACAAAATGTCAAAATGTATACTCATTTGCATGATAAAGTTAAGTTAATGTCCCACAAGCCAACGGATGAAAATCCCTTTTAGAACATTGAGAATGAGTTGAATTTTCTACAATTGTCAAGAGATGTTATTACTATATTGTGATCTTTGCAACCACGATCATTGATTTATCCAATAATCTTGACATCCCTAGTTTTGCGGTTGTAAATAAACTTGGCAAACCATGACAATGAGGGTAAACAAACAGGTTTCCATAGACACAGCAGGCACACTTTACATTTTTAGGTTTTAGTAGTTGCAAATATGAGCATTGCATTTGTTAACTAAACACAAACAGTGCAATAATATAACCACTTTAACCACAATAAATACATACTCACTCCCACAGCTTTGCACTATGGTCGGTTCCAGTGTCTTCAGTCAGACTTGCTTGGTGGCTCCAATCCACACTTGTTTTCCCCCCTTTTAAGTGCTACTTTCCCAGAAGCTGAGAACCAAGACGGGACAGGGGCAGTAAAAGGGCGCAAAGGGGGTGTCCAGAGCAATGACGCAATGTTTTTGATATTGATATAACTAAGCCAAAGCTTGACATTTAACCGATTTCTCACGAGCCATAGTGAAAAATTGTTGTATACAATTTGTATGTATGTTTACAGTGACTAGGTTTTTTCCAGTAACTTTGCCTAAAGTTTGTGCACCCCCTTTTATGCCCTAAATGGTTCAGTCTGGCGTGTAATACCCCATTCATCACTCGGAGATCTGACCCCCCACGCTCTTGTCTCCAGTCCCCCTCCTGTCTCCTCCCCTCTTCACATCTCTTTATAAAGCTAATGAGACTGAAGACTTTACTTTAAACGGGGGAGCAGCAGAGAACTGGCTAAGAGCGGCTCATGGGTAGCTGTAGAATGGACTCTTTAAAAGTGCACTCCACTATACAGAATTTAGGCATTTTTGAGAATTATTTGATTACAGGCATTGGTATTGTGCAGAACCTTTTGAGAAATGTCCTTTCTCAGATTCAGATTCAGATTGAGTTTATTTGCCATTTGCAGTAAAAAAACCACATTGGAATACATTAGCAAAAGTCTCCAGTGCGCACAGACAAATACAGACATAAAACAACATTAAAAGACACAAATAAAACAAATAAAACAGTAAACAAATGTCACTGTGAAATCGATCGACTAAAACAGTTCAAAGCAAGTGCAAATCATTAAAGTCTCTCTTATGGTCTCGCAGTTTGTTCCAATGTTAGGATTTAAGCAGACAGAGACGGATTGTGGTGTGCCAAACTCTGGAAGTTTATTTAAGTTTCTCTCAAGTTCCACTGGTTTACTCTGTTTCTTTCTCTCAGACAGAATAAAGGCAGTACATAGTTTATATAGTCATTGTCACGTCACACATCGAAAGACATACGTGTCACAAAGAGACAGTCACATCATAGTCATAACATGGAGTCCTTGTAGAGTCCTTGTACAGTCCTGCACGTAGGCCATATTGCTATCTAATACTAACACCCTCCCCTTTGATCACATAATCACATGTGATCACTCAAATCGATCAATCAATAAAATGGAAAAAGAAAAGAAAAAAAAAAATTCTAAAAAAAAAACTTCAAAAAATTATTAAAAACAAAGAAAATGTATGCATTAAACTCATAATCATCAAATCAATATCAGTGGATTTTATCCTCTATCTTGGGAAAAAACAAAAATAAAGTAAATAAACAAACAAAAAACAAATCAAAAATAAAAACAAACAAAAATAAAAACAAACAAAAACTATTGGACACACAAGAACTCAGCAGATTCAGTCAAAACACAGACAAAAACGTTGAGTCTCAATTTAGAAGCTAATTTCACTTTTATTACTCTATACTTTTATTCTAATGCTGATTGTTTATACTTCACTTATTTCACTTTATTATTTTCACTTATCAATCTTAGACTGTGTACTTTACTTTTACTATCACTATAGTTTAAAACTATTCTAATCTATTTACATAAATCTCTCTGTTCTGTGGTTTACACTCTCATTATCAGTGGCATATTATCAGTGGGATTTTGCTCCATGTCTACTCTCATTCTCAGGAATAAAACTGTGAACACAGTAAGGTACACTTCTATAGTGGTCAGTGATTTATTACTTTTTATTATCTAAAGATATTATTGTCAGGCAGTTTGGGATGAATGTACATCATTAATCAAATTAGTATTATCCTAATAGTTGCTAATCTATTTTAGCAGGTTTGGGGTTGGGGTCAGTTATACAATGGTGTTTGTGCTGGAAACTTCTCAATATCTAAATATCTACTATTGTGTTTTTGTGCTATACCCAAATACATCAAAATGCTTTTAAATGCTTTTGAATCTCTGTTGGTTGTAATCTATCTCATTGATCTAGGCATTAATCTAGGCTAC